TCCGGTTAATAGGTTAGTCCCAAAAATAATATAAAAGTGGAAAATAAAGCCCAATATAGTTCAAAACAGTAGATAAAGTAGCATGGAGCAGATACGTTGGAGACGTATCACATGCTTACACGTGATGGAGTCAAACAGACATGGGAATGAGTAGTGTGGGGTCACATGCTGAGGTTGTCGCGATGTAGTCCTCTTTTAGCGCTAACATGAAGGCCAACATGACACTATTTTCGGCGCGCTTTAGCTATCCATTTGTCTCCTTTAGTCGCACACTCATAGGCGATGGAGCATGAATTCGTGGAAGGAGTAGCGTGGAGTCATGTGATAACCACATAGCAATGTATCCTTACGGTCACACCATCGTTGATGCTTTCAAGCTGTTCATTTGCCTCACATGGGGCCACAGGCTAAGCCCATGCACAGTCCTCTTTAGTGTTAGAAGAAAGAGAATGTCACAATGATTTTTTGGGATGTAAAACCATGGTTAAAAGCATTGCAAGTGAACCCAATGTGGTTTGTGAAGGGAAAAGATAGAAAAGGACAATATCTGGATTACACGTTGTGAGACAAATTGACTTTCACTAGCAACAAAGATACCCATGTTATCCATGCACAAGTACTTTGTAAGAAATTGGTGGAGAATGATTAATTAAGGCACTCACTGATCAGAGTGTTATGCTATATCAGTGGTTTGGTTCTGTTATGAGGAAAACAATCTCAAGAATGGAATTAAGAGGATCTTTAGTGCTTCCCTGGAATCTCTTTAACTATCTAAAAAACTCTAGTTTGAGGAGTTATACCCGATCTAGCCCTTCCCTCATATCTTTAATTTCTCAAAAGTTTAAGGAGTTACCCCTCAAAACAGTGCTCTGCACTTAAACTTAAGCAACCACTCAAAATATCCTTAAACCTATTCTTTCCTCTCTCAAACTCAGCCACCGCCGCTAGCCTCCTCGACAACAACATATCAGAGCTCCCCATCGTCCGTGTCGAGGCACTATAGCATGACACACTTAGCTTCACACCGTTCTCACACTCAATGCTCAGAAGGAGGGAGACACACACCATCATAGACCCTCTTGATCCGTCCATTCTACCCATGCGGCAGCACACTCACACACAACAAACGACGGGGTTGGTTTGATGTGGGAAGGGTAGCACTGGGTCATGATGTCATCCTCTTCGAATGTTAAGAGGATGGGTAACGTCACACCTTGGTCGAAGATCTTGAGCTATTCATTTTCCTCATGTGGTGGCCGTTCACCCCATGTATTGATGTGGAAGGAGTAGCGTGAGGTCATATTGTTGTCCTCATCGGTGTTAAGAGGACAGACAATATCTCACCATTTTTCTGACTCTCCCGAGCCAATTTTTCCACATGTGCCCGTCGCCTACCATGTGTTGATGTAGAAGTAGTAGCACGGGGTACATTTTCCCCACATGGTGGCACAGTCACATATGATGAGTTTGGGATGATGTGGAAAGGGCAGTGTAGGGTGACGCCCTAAGCGTGTCATGTCGTCGTCCTCTTCAGTGTTAAAACCAGGAATAGGGTCACACCATTGTTGACCCTCCTTAAGTCATTCATTTGCCTCATGTGTCCACCGGCCACCGCCTATGATGACGTGGAAGGAGTTTCATGGTTCCACATGCTAATCCCGCCAAATTATAGTCCTCTTCGTTGTGAAAAGGAAGGTTGGTGTCGCACCATCGTCGACTCCCTTGGGATATCCATTTGTCTCACGCGGTGACCCACTTACTCGCGATGAGATGTTTCTAATTTGTAATGACTACCATAGGGTCACACCCTCGGCCTGTCATATTTTCTTCCTCTTCAATGTCAAAAGGATGGCCAATGATACACCATTTGTCGATGCTCCTAAGCCATTCATTTGTCTCATGTATTCGCCACTCACAAGTGATAGCCCTAGGTTGTTGTGGAAGAAGTAGCATGGGATCACGTGCCGAGCCATTCATATTGTAGTCCTCTTTACTATTAAAAGGAAAGCTTGTCTCAACTATCATTGCCACTCTAGAGCTGCGGTCGCACACTCACACGTGATTGGGGCCGATGTGGAATGTGTAGTTTGTAGTTGCACTAAGCCCATTGACATGTAGTCATCTTAGATGTTAAAAGACAAATATTGGTGACATGACATCGTTGATGCTCTTGAGTTATCCATTTGCCTCACGCGGTTTTATGCTTACACATGTTGGGGCCGAACCGACATGTAAATGAGTAGTGTGGAGTCATGTTGAGCCCATCGCATTGTATTCATGTTTTAGTGTTAACAAGAAGGCCGACATGACACCCTTTTCGACGCTATCAAGTTGTGCATTTGCCTCCCTTAGCCGCTTACTCATAAGTGATGGAGCATGATGTAGTGGAAGGAGAAGCGTGGAGTCATGTGATAAACACATAACTCTGTAGCCCTAAGGTCACACCATCGCCGATGTTGTCAAGCTCTGCATTTGCCTCACATGGGGTTACATGCTTAAGCCCATGCATAGTCCTCTTCGATGTTAGAAGAAAGTGAATGTCACACAACTTTTCTTAGTATGTTAAACCATGGTTAAAAATCATTGGACACCAGACATAGTTTCTGGAAGAAGAGCAATAGAAAAGGAAAGCATTAGAATTACGCACCGAGACAAATTGCCTTTCACTAGCCACGAATATACCCATGTCATCCATGCACACTTACTTTTTAATTAATTGGTAGAGTGAGATTAATTGAAGCACTTATTGATCATATTGTATGCTATATCAATGGATTGGTTTTGTTGCAAAAATCAGGAAAATAATCTCGGGAATGGAATTAAAAACATCTTTAGTACTTCCCTCAAATCTGTTGAACTATATAAAAACTTAAGTATGAGGACTTATACCTGATCTAGCCCTTCCCTCATATCTTTAGTTTCTCAAAATTTGAAGGAGTTACCCCTCAAACCCCCTGCTTAAATTTAAGCAGCCACTCAAAATCTCCATAAAACTTTTCTCTCTCTCAAACTCAGTCACTGCCCACCTCCTCGACGACAATGTCTTAGATTTCCCCATCATCCATGTCGTCTACGCGTAGCATGCCGACAACCCCCATGTTTTCTCCCTCCTCAGCGATCACCCTGCTCCCATAATCGCCGTTGTCGCCCTCCACCATGGCTACAACAAAGAAGAACAAAATGATCAAGATGACTCACACATAACTTTTCAAGAGCTACTGGCCTCTCGGAAGAGAACATCATTGAGGAGGAGCAGCCGTCAAAGGGCCCCACCATGCCGCATGCATCATTCGTCTCTATTGTCGGGATCCTTCGTTGGAGACCGATATGGTGGCAGAGGTGGTGACATGGGTGAAGACAAGGCTCCGACCCTCGTCGATCCGCGTGGGAAGGATATATTAGGGCGGAGGCGCGGGGGGTCAACACGGGTTAGACCCTGTCACGAAAACACGCATGACCAACACCATGAAGATGTGTCCCCCATTGTTGTAGAGCTTGAGGTGGAAAATTTTGACACCATTAGTGTAGAACATGGCGCAGTAGATGCCAAAGGGGCCCTGCTCGATGAATACCTTGATGCACAAGTGAACAGAGGCAGAGGGACATGGCCTATCTCGGTGGATTTGGGTGGGATGTCGATTTGGAGAAGAAAGGAGAGGGAGGGAGATGTGCTTCCATGCGGGACCCAGGGTGTAGAGGGAGAAGAAAGGAGAAGGGTAGAGATGGGCTTTCTGTCTTCTTGAGAATGGAATTAAGAACATCTTTACTCCTTCCTTTAAATCTCTTAACTATGTAAAAAAAACTTCAATTTGAGGACTTATACCCAATCTAGTCCTTCCCTCATATATGTAATTTCTCAAAAGTTTAAGGAGTTACCCCTCAAAACATCCCTCCTTGCTTAAATTTAAGCATCCACTCGAAATCTCCCTAAAGCTTCTCTCTACCCTCTCAAACTCAGTCACCACCCACCTCCTCGACGACAACGTCTTGGAGCTCCCTGTCGTCCGTGCCGACTACATGTGGCCTCATCGACCCCCTCCCACGCTTTCTCCCTCCTCACGATCGTCTTACTCCCGAAATCGCCTCCATCACTCTCCATCATGGCTAGAAATATAGAAGAACAAACGATCGAGATGGCTCACACGTAACTCGTCCAAAGCTATTGGCCTCTCGGGAGAGGTCATGGCTCGGGGGAGGAGTCGAAGGGTCCCATGATAGTCGTGCTCCTTCATCGGAGGCCGAGCTGGTGGCAGAGGTGGAGATGAGGCTCTGGCCCTCGCCAGCTGGTGTGGGGAGGATCATGCTGGGGCGGAGGAGTAGGAGGTCGGCGCGAGTTAGGCCCTGTCAGGAAGACGCGCATAGAGAAGATAATGAAGTCATAGCCCATGTCGTTTTAGTGCTTTGGGTAGGACACCTTGACACCATTGGTGTAGATCATGGCGCAGTAGACGCCAAAGGGGCCCCGCTCGGTGAATACCTTGACGCGCAAGCCGACAAAGGCAAAGGGACATGGTGTATCTCGGTGGATTCAGTCACGAGGATGTTGGTTTGGAGAATAAAGGAGAGGGAGAGACATGCTTCCAAGTGGGACCCGTGTGTAGTGGGAGTTAACTAAGGAAAGGTCAAGATGCAACCAGATTTAACTCCTCAAAATCTAAAGAGCCAAGGTTTTGGAGTTGTTTGTGAAATGAAAATTTTAGAGGAACGGCTAGAGATACTCTGCCCCCTTCCTTTTAACCATGGCGAGCTGTCACCGGTGCATGTTTTTTCTGCTTTAAAGCAAATGAGCCCTTATGTGCAACATTACAACAAGCAAGGTGTCATGTGAAACTAATGCTGCTGGCGCTTAACGAAAACAATTAAGAAATAAAATAAAACCATCGAGCAGAGTACCAGGCCGCACAGCCTTCGCCCTCTATAAAACCCCTGCCTACTTTCTTTCTTCCACCTTGACTCCCCACTCTTGCTCGGCCCACCACCATTGACACAGCACAGAGATCATGAAGAGATCCCCTCCTCCTCCTCCTCCTCCTCAGCCATCTCCTTCTTCTTCGCCGGCATGCTCGCTGTCGCCGTCGCCGTCGTCTCCTTCCTCCTCCGACTCGTCCTCGATCGCCATTCCCCGCAAGCGGGCGCGGACGCAGAAGGCCGGGAGCGCCAAGGCCAAGGCGGCGCCCAAGCGGGCCAAGAAAGACGCGAGCAGGAGAAGCAAGGAGTCTGACGCCTCCGCCAATGGCGCCGCCGCTGCTGCGAAGAGGAGCTCCATCTACAGAGGGGTCACAAGGTATGAATCATGCGTGGATTGATTCCGATCTCTGCCCGCAAAATAACCGGTCAATTGCGCATTGCCACTGATTAATCAGTAGTCGCAGAATTGGTTGGTCCCCAACCTTGGCCTGCATGTCAAAAGTCTGCACCCTTTTTTCCTTCCTGATCTCTCGGAAAGCCTGTTAAGCATGATCCCGGTGGAGTTCTTGAATTCGGCAAGCGGATTTTCTTGCCGTGCTCCATTTGAATAATTCAGTCAACTGTTGTTAGTTGTTAGGAAGTAGGAGGGCTGGTTGATCTGCAATCTGCATTACTGCTGCCTGCTCATTTAATCCGGTCAATCAGTTTTTTCCTTACTTTTTATCTCCTTGAAAAGCAAGTGCTTAAATTGATCAGCTGCATCCATGTCAATATGTACTCAGGCACAGGTGGACAGGCAGATTCGAGGCACACCTCTGGGACAAGAACTGCTTCACTTCCATCCAGAACAAGAAGAAAGGGAGGCAAGGTAAAAAAACACATCACTTCTTCTGATTTTCAGATTTAAATCGCATTAATGTTTCAGATTTATAGAATTATTATTTTTAAGCATCGAGGGAAAAATAGAGATGCAATACGAGGATGGTACCTAATACTGATTAAAAAACTGCAAGGTCCTTGTGACCGAGGCTGCTCTGGATCCTGATACATCTGATATTAGCACAAAGCATATTTTTTCTCCGTGAAGCGAATCGAATTTATTAAGGCTGACATTCTGATTATACTTTTTTTTATCTCTTTGTTTTCTGTTATCTTTTGTGGGGGTCCTTGTCTGGTGATCTGCATGTGACTGCGATCTACTTCTGCTTTGATGCTGCGTTGGCTCAATAGTCTATCTGGGTAAGTCCCACAAGCATATTTGTAGACACACATCTAGCCTACCTGTTTTTGGCAGATTCATGTCACTTGTCATTTTTTCTTCAATCTCCATTAGAATAAAAAATAATTATAATCTGCTTGTTGACGATTTGGTTGTCAATTCTGCAGGGGCTTATGATACAGAGGAGGCAGCTGCCCGTGCGTACGACCTCGCAGCTCTCAAATATTGGGGCCCTGAAACCACACTGAATTTCACAGTACGTTGTTCTCCTCTCGGAAATAGAAAAAGGAAAGCATTGGTGTATGTGTACGTACATATACATCCAAGTTGCTGCGTCAGTTCTTGTTTGGTACAAGCAGGAGCCAGGGTGTGTCTTGGCAAACACCACCATTGACTCGAGAGTTAAGGAGGTGACAGCAGAGAGAGTAGTAACGCCTTGACAGCCCATGTCGCCTTGTAGTACTAGACTAGATGAGCAACACACATAAAAAGACGGCCTTTGAATGTGTTGGTTGTGTAACAACTGTTTGTCATTGTTCTCAACAAAATAAACATACTAGTAGTAATTACCATGATAAATTATATTTTTCATGGACGGACGCATGCAGGTGGATGAGTACGCGAAAGAGAGGTCGGAGATGGAGGCGGTGTCGCGGGAGGAGTACCTCGCCGCCCTCCGCCGCCGGAGCAGCGGCTTCTCCAGGGGGGTCTCCAAGTACAGGGGCGTCGCCAGGTACTACTGCTAATACTGCATTGATTAGCGAGCAGCTCCTGTTTTGGTTATAGCCAGAAAACTACTGTATAGTACTATTCCGAGACATGCAAAATTCATGATGAAAGAAAGAGACACGTGGCATTCAAGTGCCAAGTGTATGCTACGTGGGATCCAGGGATGGTGCTGACTCGGGAGGAGAGACCTTTCTGGCCGACTGACAAAATAGGGGTACGTAGGCAGCTAGGATCCATCTGCACCGTGGAGTCAGTGGGCATGCGTCAGCCGGCAGGCAGAAAGTGCAACGTCATACTACCCCAGCCAGCCATGTCATCTAGAGTGGCCACAGATGGCTCACCTACCTCTTTCAAGCGTCAGTTTCGTGTGTCGAAAAAAGTCCAACCTGGCCGACAGCAGACCGCCGGTTTGGAAATTCAACTGGAATTTTCACAGAAACGGTTCAACGATATGCATCGAACTTTTTCTTGCGACTAATTTTGACAAAACACAGGAACTAATTTTGCTGAAATTTCAGAGAGAAACTGTTGGATTTGTGTCTGAATATATGTAAATGTTTATCATTTTGGGTGCAGGCACCACCACAATGGGCGGTGGGAGGCACGAATTGGGCGGGTGCTGGGGAACAAGTACCTATACCTGGGAACCTTTGGTGAGCAGCACCTCCCCCTACTCCTTTGAGCAAGAAAACAGTTTTAATTAATCGGCATTGAAAGGCTACCATTGTTCGTTGTAGAATTGTCCTGCTTAACATTCCGCAAGAGCAGCTGCCCACCTAACTTTTACCAGAATTTTATGATCAAACCTAACACCCACATATATTCAATGGCATGCACTTGTTGTTTCCCTCCCTCCAATGCACCACACCCGGCCTTACCTTAATGCTGCTACCATAATCTCTACCTTTCCTATGTTAATTAGTAGTTATTCTCGCTTTATTTCTACTTTCTTTTTATTTTCTATGTATCTGCAAAAGAAAGAAAGAAAGAAAGAAAAGAAGGGGCAGTGGCAGGGTCAAGATTCAGGACTATGAGACAGACCAAGATACCATCCTGTGTGCAATCCCAAGAGGATTGCTCAACTTGCCCTAAGAATAACATTAAGCAGTAAGCACAGACAAAGCGTTGGATCAGATCATACGCAATGCCCTGCCCTGCACTGCTAATTACCAGTAAATACTGCTTGCATGTGAGCAGCACGTGGTGGGAGTGGTAATGCCACCGGCTGGTGCATAGGGATCTTCAATCTCTCCCTGTCTTCTTTTCACTTGCCTCTCTGACTCAGCAGTGAGTGGTCGCCTCACGTGCATGGGGCATGCCCTCCTCTCTGTCAAAAACAGACCAGATCAAGATTCAGGATCCAAATCACCGCACAAATGATATGATTCACCACACTAACGTCAGGGATAAAAAAGAAAAAAAATCCCCAAAGGGCGAGAAGATCGCCACTGAAGGGCAGGTTGCCACAAGAGTTCTCTAGTTAATTACCGCAGTAGCAAAACACCACAATGAACTCTAGTGACCATCACATGTGAAAGTAGCAAGCATCCCATCCACATCCACTGTCGTCTTTCAGGCAACTAGGATGTGAAATTCAGCATCTTCTGCTCTAGATCATTTACTGACATCACTAAACAACTCTGGTGAGCCCAACTGTAGTCCTGGTCCTGTGCGAGAACAATGGAGCCAATTTGACACAAGTTGATAAATTCTGTGATTTAGCTCACATAGTGCATCTTCTTTCTTCCTGCAGATACCCAAGAGGAAGCAGCCAGGGCCTATGATCTTGCGGCCATCGAATACCGAGGCGCTAACGCCGTAACCAACTTCGACATTAGCCGCTACCTGGACCAGCCGCAGTTACTGGCACAAATGGAGCAGGGGCCACAGGTGGTGCCAGCATTGCAAGAGGAACTTCAACATGATCAACAAAGTGACAACGCAGTCCAAGAGCTCAACTCGGGTGAAGCGCAGAAGCCGGGTAGCGTCAACGAGCCGATTGCAGTGGATGACACAGACAGCGCCGGAGACATCGGTGCCCCCCTTGTGTTTGACAGCGGCGTCGAGGAGAACCTGTGGAGCCCTTGCATGGATTATGATTTGGACCCCATCTTTGGACGCGACATCAGCAACTCGATGAATCTGAGCGAGTTCTTCAACGACCCCACCTTCGAGAGCAACATCGGGTACCTGTTCGAAGGATGTCCCGACATCGATGACTGCAGCACCAGGCATGGCGCAGGCCTGGCGGCGCTCGGTTTTCTCAAGGAAGGTGACGATAATATGAAGGATGTTCCAGACATGGATGCAGAAATAACTCCTCAAGCAAACGACGTCTCCTGCCCTCCAAAAATGATCACCGTGTGTAATTGAGTATCTCTATGCCCTCATGTCCAAGGAAGGTTTCAGGTTTTCATGTTGGGTATACTTCTTAGCTAGCTTCTTGTAGGCTGTCTGTCTGTCTGATCAGGTCGGAGAAATTCATGTGTTCATCCCCATCCTTTGAGAAAAACCCAAAGGCATTCTACTTGGTATGGTATGAGTGCCAATGTTCCTTTTTCTTCTCCTTGAAAGTTACCAGAAGGCTAATATACTAACCTCAACGAGATGTGCTCACTTAACCTCGGTTTAACCAATCACATTGTGACAGCTTACAAGTTTCATTCATGTATTTACCCTTTATGTTTTGAGTTGGATTCATATATTTATACTTGTTCCTATAGAAGTCACATCGTGTGATCCCAATATATTACTCCCTCTGTAAAACATCTTATATTTGTTTGAGAACGTATTACAATATACTCCCTCCGTTCCTAAATATAAGTCCTTTTAGTGATTCCAATATGGACTACATACGGAGCAAAACGAGTGAATCTACACTCTAAACTATGCTATATACATCCGTATGTAGTTCATATTGGAATCTCTACAAAGACTTATACTCCCTCCATTCGGAATTACTTGTCGCGGAAATGGATGTATCTAGACGTATTTTAGTTCTAGATACATCGGTTTCCGAGACGAGTAATTCCGAACGGAGGGAGTATTTAGGAACGGAGGAAGTAGCTTGCTTGATTTGGAAATTCCCGCTACGAATGCATAATGTCTTAGGTCCCAAAAAAAAACTTGATGGAAGAATCTTAACTTTTCATTCAACACAAATGTGTCATCTGTGGTAAAAACAAAAACAAATGCCAAGTATTTAGAAGCAACGTTCTTGCAACAAGTTTTCGCCGTAGAAATAGTTCAATAAAAGTTCCTGTCATGGCTATTCTTTTTTCTTTTCTAATCAGAAAAAACAGAGGCAGAACCTCAGGATATATAGAGCGGGTTTCCTTGTAAACCGAATGTTTATTTGGCGCATTGTCATGTTATACAGTACCAACTAAATAGTGGAAATGACATACGTATCAAACTTAACAAAGGGCTACATAACATTTCCTTTTGTTCTTCTCGAGATGACATGAAATGTATAAGAGGGAGCCTGTAACCGATGGTTTCTCTACACGGCAAGGTGGGAGACAAGGAATGGATCATCAGTCATCAAGCCAACCGCAGGAGCCTGGCTGTGGATGCGGGAACAAGTGCTTCGGCGCGAAAGAATCGATGGGCTTCACCCTACCGCGGCCTGTTTCTGCCGGCTCAGGGGACTGAGATGGATTGCAGGACGCTAGGCGGTCGAGTAGCTCGTCTTCGTCGGGTATATCGTGCCCCTGAGATGCACCTCTATGCCTTTCTGCTGCACCAGGATTTCTCACATCTGGAAAGACAATATGGTCCCTCTTGGGAGTTCCTAGCTCTTCTTGAATCTCATGCTTCCTGAAAACATTTACAGAAATTCACAGAGGGTACCAGAAACCAAGACAAATGGAAAACAGGAGAAATTATGTGGCTGATCAAAGTAGGAGAATCAACAGACCTGCAGTAGATTAAAATTTGATCAGGTAGAATGCCATCCCATGCCCTTTGCGGAGTAGCCTCTTCCTCGTCCTCTATCAAGGAAATATCCCTGGAAAACAAGTAAAGGTGAGGACCAGAAATTCTTATTTTCTGCAATGGGACATAACATAAGAGACCGGGTTGAGGATGGCAATGCAAAGGCAAACCTTGGCAAGCACTTCCGGTGGTATACAGTTGGACAGCGCCTGCATACTGCGAATTGCATTTCCTTGTCATGCTTGTTCTCTGCTTCCTTACACCGCTTACATTTATGCACGGGACAACTGAATTCCAGTCCACCAGCAACACATTGCTCAAAACATGTTGCCTTGGCTTTGTTATCAGGGTAGAGTATTTTAGCAACACATCCCGGGTGGTAAAAGTGCCCACACTTTTGCTCCTTACATTGGAATACCTGAAAAGCCATCAAGAAGTTGGTAAGAAAATTAAGTATTTTAAGATGAGAACACACAAGCATTATACTCCCTCCATTTTTATTTACTTTGCATATTAGCTTTGACCTAAGTAAAACTTTATAAAGTTTGACCAAATTTATAGAAAACAATATAAACTTTCACAGTAAAAAATACATATGATGCGAAAATATATCCAATGATGATTCTAATGGTATTGATTTGGTATTGTGGATGTTCATATTTTTTCGTATAAATTTGGTCAAAGTTTACAAAGTTTGACTTGAGACAATGCTAACACGCAGAGTAAATAAAAATGGAGGGAGTAATTATTACTCGTATAGATGTGCAGCACACAAAGTCAAACGCCTTCTAAGATTTAATTTCACTGCTAAGCTCTGACACGGTCCTGACATACGCGCATATCCCAATACAAGCTGGCGGATGAGATAAGAAGTTATAAGACCGAGCTCAGATTTGACACAGATGGTTTGGATGCGAGGGGATATGTAATATATGTTTGATTTGGCATGATCGTCAAAATTTCTTATACATGCAGTATATAGTTTTTTTATTAATTCACAGCAACACATTGGTGTTGCACTACTTTCTAACATCTTAGAAAATAGTATAATGAAAAAGGCATCTTGAGATGCTTCCTATTTCTTATAACTTTTGAGCAATATACTTAATTTCATTTCTTCATCTCTTCTGACATAAACAAAGAAAGGAAGTATCAATGAAAGTTAATGAAATGTATCTGTTCTGCATACCTCAGGACCTGCTGTTAAGTTTGAAGACCCCAATAATCCACAAGCAAAACATTGATGCTGCTTATGCTTGCAGTTCTCGCAGAAATATAACCCCTTTTCCTGAATTACCATTCAAAATATGAAGCAAAATGTCAGCTCCTATACATAAATAGAAGTGCAAAATGAAAAACGGCTAAAATATATCGTATACCCCTAGTGCTTTATGCTTTTGCCACTTTGCTTCATTTAGCCCAAGGCTTGTGCACATAGATCTTTCACCATGTTCTTTGGTTGGGTGGAAGGATCTCAGACATCCACCATCACAGCTAAAAAAACATAATGTAAGAAGGAAAATTGAGATAAAGCAAGGAATATGGTTCGTTCAAAGCAACAGGAAATTCAACAAACTTGCATCTATAACACTGGAAACCATAACTCAGTGTTGTGTTACAAACACATTTGATGACAATATTGAAGAAGATCCATATATTTCATTTCAAACATGATGCCTATCACAATATTGGTGGGGCTGAATCACAGAACAACTTCTGGACATAGTGAACGTGCTATCTATTTGGAAACAACTATCATGTGAATGTCAGCTATCTGAGTAGAAAAGTGCAGCATTCCTAGTTTCATTATGGTTGAAGAAACATGGAATCTGTTGCTTCAAGAACACTAATTAACTACAACATTACACAACCAATACCTGCGTTATGTGTCAAGAAACTAAATTGCTCTATAGAGTAGGTCAAAGTTTCAGTGGAGAACGATTCTCGAGGAAAGAAAGTGAATTCGCGATCACAACTGGACATTCATTAAAGATGAAGCCGCTGAAACTTGATTGTAGATGAACCTACCAGATTAATTCACCACCATCGTCGCAAAATGCACAAACTTCCCTCTGCACAAAAATTAGATATGTTAGCTTCGCAAAATTGGGCTTAAGTAGACCAGCAGAAACCGAACACAACATCTGGGAACTAGTAGTTAAGAAAAGGAAAATATGGTAATATGCTAGGCATATGGGTGGAAAAATTCAACTGAATCAAGAAAATGGTTAATCACTTGCCTCCAGAGAAGTCCATGGTTAAGAGCTTAAGGCTACTTGTGTCAAAAATCTGGGAACATGAGTACATCACTGCTAACTTCGTTTATAGCTTTTTAATGGCATTTTTTGAAAGTTGTTTTCTGTAGTCACATTTTTTATTATGCTAAGTTGGCAGTGCCATATTTCAAATTAACCAAGTTCAAAAAGAGCCAAACTTGTTTAAGTTTGACAAACACTGTACAAAAATGTGGTAAGATCTAAAACACCAAATACACATAGTACAAAAAAACATTTTCATAAATAAATAATCTCATGAGACTAATTTGGTGTTATAGGTGTTAATATATTTTTCTATAAACTTGGTCAAACATAAACAAGTTTGCCTTAGGACAAACCCAGAACTTGAATTATTTTGGAACAGAGGTATATGCGGTACCTGCTGAGGCTCAACTGGTGCCTCGCCATTGGCCCTCTTTGGGTTGCTGCTCTGGCCTTCCTTTGGCTCGCGACTGGCACTCTTGTGCCTGCTGTCCTCAACACTCTTTGCCTCGCGGAGTTTGCTCACTCGCACCTTTATCACGGCCATAATCTCCCCCAAGGATCGGGCAAGGCAGATCTGCTGCCAAGACGCAAACTTGTTTAGTTTTTCTTAGGGTTCCAAACATAAAAAGAAAAGTAAAAAAACCGTCAATCTCCCTCCCACCCTCAGCGGAGAAGTGCGGCGACCGAGCCGACAGACCGGACGCGGGCAGAAGTAAGAATCGCTCACCTCGAATCCTCTGGACCTACTCCTCTAGCGGATGCTGCAAAATCTCAGTCGCCGAAACCGCCATAAGGACGATCCCTGGAATTTATGGAGCCTGGGACGCGTGATGGCGAAATCAGACTCGGATCGGTAACAATTACGGAGCCTGACGCGCGTGATTGCAAAAATCAGATTCGGCATAAACGTTATGATGCATAAATCATCTACCGCGTTGGACCCACCAACTAAAATCGCCGACCAGAAAAACAGTCCAACCAACAAGTAGACGACCAACATCTCCAACGACAGCACCGAGGATGTCGCGAGAATACAAGACATCGCCTTCATGAAGAAGAACGACACTAAGACACCGTCGTCTTCCGATCCGGAATACCAAACCTAGAGTTACCCCTGATGCTCGAAGAGGGGCACAGATAACGACCATGGCAGCGCCTCCAAGAAGGAAACAACACCCATGGATGTCTCCGCTGCCAGCACAAGATGCAGGGATTTCGCTCTGGCCAAATCCCGAGCAATCCCAAGCCGTCAGAGAACGAGTCGAAGAAGAGGAAGTCGAGCCTAGGACGGAACTGCGACTACAGTAAGGGGAGCCATGCCCGATGCCAAAGGAGGCACCGGTCGTTGCCGGACGTGTGAGCTTTAGAGGAGGGCAAGGCTCTGTGGCTGGGCGGAATGAGAAGCAACAGGGATGTGACGGTGGCCGGAGGCCCAAATGAGCAAGGATCTAGAAGGAAGTGCAGATCCAGGCTACCGGGACCGGAGCAGCAGGGGCGCCACCGGGCCAAAGGAGCTGGAAGGGGACGCGACTCCTGGAGCGTGCCGGAGCCAAAGATGTGCCTAGATGGACGCCCAACCAAGGGCACCCGCAGGGTGTTGGGTGCGGAGATGCCAAGGAGCAAGCGAGGCATAGGAGCACCAAAATAGTGTACCTCCCAGGGTGCACCGGATCTGAAGTCACGCAGGCCGGCCATGGACGCAGGTCCTTGGCCGCCGGGTCAAAGTCGCCCTTGCGGGGCAGGGGTGGATGATGAAGGAGGCTCGCACGCAGCCAAACTCTCGGTCGGCGCGCTACAGGAAGCAGCAGCCGGTCACAACCTTGCGCCTCCATGGCCGCCTTCGAAAGAGGCTGACACGAGCAGAGGGACGAGTGGTGGGGGCATGGGCGTAGCAAGGAGGGCACGCCTAGTTGCACCAGGAGGAGTCGCAGTCGGGGAGACCAAACACTCCAGCTGCGGGCCGGGATAGCACCAGGGGAGGCCGCTCCCACTGCCAGTGAAGGCAGTCGGAGCCGATGGGGGACATATCTAGGGGAGTGGTGAAGGGAAGGGCAGGAGCGAGGGGGAGAATGGCCCCGCCGCCGCCATCCCTAGGTCCGAC